ATAATAAATTATGTATAATATATCAATATATAAACTATAGAGATTGAATTGTATACAGTGTATCTATATATTGTATTTTATACAGATAAATTCCATTAACGAATAGCAATCATTGGTATATGCTATTCATTTTTAATTTACATCATCATTATTTCAATATAACGAAACAACTAATATTTATTATAATAGTAGCATTCTAGGTAATTTTATGGGGTGACACATCTCCATTAATTGTAGACTTACTATTCTTTTTATTTTTTTTTTTGGTCAGACAGTGAGTATTTATTTACCCTCGTTCCTCATAATTTCTATTATTCTAGTCTGGCTCTACTGTCATCCACGGACCACCATACATTATTTACGTTACKATGACTAATGACATACCTACCAAATATAATCTAAGGTTTGGCGCCATCGAATAAAAAACTGAGCCATGGAATTCAATAAAGAAAAAATATATACAAACAACAATACTTGTAACTAAATTGCGTTTTTTTCACTGGTAAAACGATACTTGCCCTCTAAGTAAAACCGGATAAGGACAACTAAGGACTACCTATAATATGCACCTTTATATTATTATTATGCATGTATAATATAGTATTTATATTTTATTATTATTGTAGGTATAATAACACTAAAACACATCACACCTCCAATTCATATAGTATGTACAAGCATTAAAGATAAAAATTTGAATTTATAAATTACATCTTAATCGACTAGCTGTATTATAGCAGTTGGAATGACCACGAAAAGTAGCATAATAATAATCACGCGGTATAATAATCATGTAGAAATTATTCTTCAAAAATGTATTCCTTCAAAATAAATGATTTGTTTTTTTGGTACTTATAGATACAAACAATGSTAATTCAATAAATTCGTGAAAATTAGTCGGACGATTTACTTTTTAATTTATCCTGGTCTACTAAAAATATTAAAAGAATTTAAAATGTGTTAGTGTTATTTTGATAAATAACAAGATGCTTGTTTTAATTAAAATCGATTTTTTAATTTGTTTTTTAATGTAAAGAATAGACCACATGCATTGTATGCAATTAATTTATCACATCAATATTATTTTTAAAAAGTTGAAAGTAGAACGAAAGACGACGAGATATTCTGTGTACGTTATTTCGTATCTTTTTTTATTCTATTACCATCTAACATACATAAGAGAATATAGGGGTTACATATATATTAGTATATCATAATATCTCGTATTACGTGTTTTGCCTTAAATACTTTATAAAAGTTCCACATTTTGAAACATGTATTTCGTAAAAATACGAAGCTTCATTAATTCCTTATTATCAACAATTTCATTAATGTAGAACGTATATAGGTATATTATATATTTTAAATAATTTTTTGTTCTTAAAAAAAAATTTGTAAGCCAAAATAGGAAGTATAGAGACTAATAAAATAACATCAAAAAATTTGATTGTATAAATACCTCAACAATCTCATTCCTCGACGGTTATCAATCTAACTAATGATATAAATATGTTTTTCTAGTTGGTAAATGGTAAGTAAAAATTAAAATTAACTTTGTAAAGATTAATATTGTTCGTGTATTTTTTATGGAAGTAAATAGGTATATCTATTTTATTAAACGTTTCAAGATTTCATTTCATTTATTGATATGGTATTACAGTATACATATAAAATATTAAACATATTATTATTATAAAATTACAATTTATACTCACGTATTATTTATATAAAAAGTAAAAACAGAATTCATAATTATTGGATTTTTCTGTTTTTTATTTTAAATCGACGTCCCTATATATTACAAATGTATAACGTTCCACACCTGTAATTCTTCGAAACGCACAATACGAAACAATAATGCCGATTTGAGCATATACTATTTTGAACGTACCTAAAACACGATATTGTAAATTATAAATTTGCCGCGGTCGGCAATGAACGGCTACCTATTTCGCTTATGACGATGACGGGGTGGTTTTATGTATACACWWACTTATATATGCTATATATAGAATACATAAAATATAGAATTCTGGGTTTATATGGCCAGTTTGTTGTTTAACACCTATACATAAACAGGGTGCTTTCAAAAATAAAATAATAAATGCGTGGTTAAATAACAAATCTGGGGTAATCATGCTTGGTAAAACACCCTGTATAATATGTGAATGTTATACGCGTGTAGAAAATGAAAAAAACTCTCTATCGGCATGCACACAGGGCCCCGACGCGACTCGTATTATTATTATTATTATTATTGTTATTATTATTATTATTATTATTATTATTATTATTATTATTATTATTATTATTATTATTATATATATTATATTATATATATACCTTTTTCATACCGTTCTGACCCGCCACCGACCCGTTCCGAATGAGTGGTGAGTATTATATATATTATTTTATTATCATTATTATATGTGTGTGCGGTTCGTATTGTGTGTATGTGTGTGTGTGTGTATGTGTATGTATTTGTGTATTTGTGTATGTGTGTATGTGTGTGTGTGTGCGTGTGTGCGTTTATTGTGCGCGCGGCGGGTGTGTGTATGTGCGCGCAGTTCGGCTCTTCTAGCTACGCGCGCCGTACGTGTCGTAAGAGTATAGCCCGACGGTCCGCCGAGTAAACCACGACACCGACACGAGGACGTACCTCTAATATTATGCTTAAAATWTATTCTGTTATTTAAAACATTTTTTATTTTATATTTAATTTACCGATCGACTGGATATACGAATCGTATTTTATCCTGCTCATATAATCTTCGTTGTTGATATACTTCAAGTCATTATTATCATAATTATTTTAAATCGTTATTTACCGCGTATTTATCAAAACACTTGTCGATTTTTGTTTGCCGTTCTTTTTCTTGTTTAATGCAGTTCGGTTTCTTTTTCTGCCGCGTCTGTTACATTGTTCGCAACGATGATTTTATTGTGATACGACAAACTTCTGCAGCCACATACACATAGACATACAGTTGTGCACYCAGACTATAAAAGATTTGTGAAGGTACATTATAAACAATCATAATTATTTATTATTTAATTACGATTTTTTTCACGTTCATTTCATGATATACTCTTCATTTGTACGCTTGAGAAAACACTTCTTTAATTCCAGTTTTAATATTCAGTAAATAAAATTAAGAACATTTAATAAGTTTCATTTGCTCACATGTTAGTGGAGTTAAAGCGATATTTAAAAAAAAAACTGTTATTAACACTGAATACATTGTTTTGCCTATCAGGTACTTAAGGGTAGTAGGAACACTATAGGAACTGCAAATAATATTATCTGTGTGATTTAAATTTAAATAAAAATAAATTATTAATGAATATAGTATATAAGTTTAGTGTACATTTTTTTTTCAAAATCAATAATTTAAAACTAAACAAGGTTTATACATCGAGTATTCGAGTACCTATATTGTAATAATATGTATGTTACCTAATTACCTAAWCACATATCTAATTGTATACTATAATGGCTATACCATAGAGTAATATATAGTAATTACTCTATGGGCTATACCTAGTGACTACATCGACGATTTTACTTAAAACTTTCAAACAAATATATAGCGTTAAGACTCTACGGCTATATCGTCATGGTTATGTTATAAGCCAAAATAACCAACGAAAATAAATGGTGTTGGTTATTTGTTCGACTTCAACATGTTTGTATTGATCTTATTGCGAAGTGGTGAAAGTTTTGATTCCTTTTTATTATGATGACAATATTAGTTATTAATTAATGAAAGGTAGGTATATAAAAAAAACTAGGATATATCCTCCGGATGCTATATAATGAAGTAGGTTTAAGTCTACAAGGTGCAGAACATAAGTACAATTATATGTATAATAGTCATCTCTATATATTTTATGTYTATTGAAAACATCCCGCGATGAAAACATGTTAAACGAGGCAATAAATTTTATCTTTTTTCCAATTATAATATATCAATTAAACGCACATATTATATGTATATAATAAATATTATATACATTTCTTCTGGTTACAGGCATGTGCTTAAGTCGATTGATGCACACGTGCTACGGCTACAGAAATCGGTAGATCGAAGTATTGAACACCCCGGAGAAGAATGACACGTCAATTACCGTCATGAACTTTTATTCAGTCGCTGAGCTATTGCCATGGTTGTTGTTGTTATTTTCCTCGACTGGCTTCGCTTCTCCCGTTCCAAACAAGGTGAGCCGCTTRATTTTCTACTTTCCACAACGCTCAGCTTACTAAAACAAATCCGTTTAATGTTAATCCAAAAACAATGCAGTATTATAAATTATAATATAGAAAATAGCAAGTCTTAAGAAATCTGAAGTACAATTATATTTGTAATCAAACAAAACAATMTATCTCAATTGTAGTTAATTACTATCGCCAGCTGAGTAAATATATAATATCTAATTTTAATGTTTTCAGTCYAGTTTTATATAACGATACAACAACCCCAATCAAATTATCGTACACATATTATTTTATAATTAGGTTAATTATTATCTACGTTTCGTCTTTATACCAAACTGTATAGGTAGTATTATTGTATTGAATGATTTTTCGAGAGAAAAAAAGATATACCCTCAAGGATCTCTGTTCAGAGGCGGCACATTGTCTGGCACGTCTTGAAATAGTTTTTATGAGGTCGATTATTAGCTGGGCGTGTCTCAAACACCTTTTCATTTATAAGCCCTCTGGTGAAAAAAAACCATATACATGAGATATGAGAAAAAAACATTGGTGCCGGCGAGTCTAGGGTTGACTTCACAATACTATCGGCACACCTGGCTCAAAGCGAGTTGTTTATGGAAGCCCATTATTTATTTGTATCGGGTGTTATATACCTATACGTACAAGTTATCGAAAATCTTTTAAAATAATTTATGTCAATTAATTTTCATTTTATAATAAATATATTATTTTATTGGCGAACGTATATAAAAAARAATAGATCATACACTTAAAATTAATATTATATTATAAAAATAAAAACAAAATACAAATTACTATAATACGATTATACTGTCATAGTTAACCCACTATCGTACATGAATCATAAAATAAATTTAAAGCCTTAAGTACCTGTGGATTATTAAAATATTTCTGAAAAATATAATATCTATAGCCTATAGGATATACGTATATGTATATTATATTCAGAAAGTTACGTTAAAAATGATTTACACAAAACCTAATGTAAAAGAAATACAGGTTAATAACTATTGCTGCAGTAATAATAATAGGTATACTACAATTCAACATTTAGATTTAGAGTTCAAAATATACACAAAAATTAATAATTTTTCTTCTGTTTCATCGTATTGTAGTATGTACCTACCTAGATATAATTTATTTTTAACACCAAATACAAATTTTTATTTAAAAAAAAAATTAAATAATTAATAACATTAAGTGCTAAAAATACTGGCTATTAAATTTAATTTTAAAACAAGATTAGAAAAAATATATAGGTACGTATACATATGTTATTACTAATTATCCACATCCATGATAGTATTTATTATATATGATACAGGGTGATTCACCATGCATATTCACCCCCATTTTTTCCTTTGATAATGACATTATTCAAATTCTGATTTTAGCATTTTTAAATATACTCAAAAATAATTATTTTTTCAATCCCTAAATTTTTGTGAAGTACTTAAGAAATGTCCTGTGGTGGATCAAACTTCTGTTTTGCAAAAAAAACCCCTATTTTGATCTAATTTATTTACTAAGTTATTTCATTTTGACGTATCAGAATCAGATGTYCATCAATTAGTTTTGAATTATTTAACTATTCGCGTATTAAAGATAATGGTTTGAGTGATTTAAAAATGTTGATTATTAATATTAATATCCTCCTATGTCCTATCTAAAGTTAATTTCAGAGTTCCTACTTATTGTTCCAGATTCTCTATTACATTCCATATTCCTTTCAGCTGCTGTAATTATTTATCTAATCACCTTATTGTTCGTATGATGAAACTGGCCAATGAGGATCCATAATTYMTTAGTATTTAGTGTAATTACTGTCTGTATTCATTCTTAAATATTTGTAATTTTTTTGTTAATTATTTTTCAATACAAAACAATGTAATTGGGCTCGTTYCGTATTTAACAAAAATAAATAAATAATTTGTAAAGATGGTCTTAGTATAATAAATACTAGATCCAATATTACGTCATCTGTTTTATATTTTAGTAAAAACACTTTTATAATTATCCTCATTATAAACATTTCAATTTTTAATAACTGAAAAACTACTTGTCTTAATTTTAAATTGGGTAGGTACATCAATATTTTCAAAGTAAATCCACTAAATGATTTACAGTAAAAAAGGGGGATTCTTGTTTGAAAAAACAAAAGTACGTAACGCTACAGGAAACTCTTTACGTGGTAAAAATCTCATACATTTGAAAATATGTTCTTTAAGTATACCTATATTAAAAGTTTTAAAAAATTAAATTTTGAACAACTGCATTATTAAAGAAAAGAGAGAGACCATACGAATCATCCTGTATATTATAATATATAAATTATAAATATCATATAAGTAAATAGTCGTTTAAATTTAAAACATATGATATTTATGATTTATATTAATGTGGTACTAGGCCACTAGGGCAATGACATATTATTATGGAGATGTCAATCTTCTTCTCTGGTACAATTTACGTGCAATATCTTTATACACCTATACTAATATTTATAAAAATAATACAAATTTMTTTATTTATTTTTATTATTGTTAAATGAAATTCCATGATCAAAATTAAATTATAAGTCAAAATCATAAATACTCTACAACAAACGCATTTCGATTTTCATTAAACTAACGAGTAGCTATTTCTATTATATGCACTACTATACGATACATATTTTGGCTTTTGCACTATGAAATCTTAAGAAATAAAAATAAGCATCTGTCATCTAAGATTTTATATAGGTAGATACGTCAAGATTCCATGCTCATTGCTCAATCATACTATATATTATATATATATGTAACGAGATATTGTTATTTTTTAAACCTAAGGTTTTGAAAATAAAAAAATTGTTTATTGGTGTAATTAATTAATATATATTATCAATATATTTTCTATAAACTTTGTGTGCATCTTCAATAATATTCATTTAAAACGATAAAACAGAATAATAATGTAGGTACCAAAAAAAATATTATGATTTCTTAATTGTGGGCATAGATATTTACATACTAGTAATCGTGACTGCGACTGTGCGAGTGCTGATTTAATTTCGAATAAAAAAATATATACCTTAATATAATAATTATATCCATAAACCAAGTAAACTATCGTGGATATAACTATAAACTATAGACTATAGTATAACTAAATCGAATTTAAAAATTCATTATATACAAGTTTCAGTCTCGTATTTTAACAGCCAAGCCATATAGCGCTAGAACGTCTGAGTTTGTATGTCGTTCTATAACATAATAAAAAATGATCTAATAAAGATGTATATTAGATAGTGGATGATACCATAAAATCAGCTCTTTACATCATTTAGCATGACAATATTAAGCGATTTTAATCCACTGCTAATTACTAGCAACGAAATTATCTGTCGGTAAAAAAAAATCGACATAATAAAATATACGCAAAACCAAAAGCTACTAAATAAAAATGTTTTCAAGGTATTATTCCACTTATTCATGTCACCAAAATAACAACCATGATATTATGATAATCATTCAACAAATTTAGTCAAAAAAATATTGATTTTAATTTTCCATATGTTTTTCAATTAATATAAATCCTATAACCATCAAGGCAATTTATTTTTGGATATTTTACTACGGTGTGACCAGTAGGAACCTTTTGTTAATTTAAGTATTAAAAATGAYAATTTTAAAGCGTTTTATACATGTAATAAACATAAAAAACAAAATAAGATGTAGTATAAGAAAATTAGATTTGCGTTCACTAGTTTTCTAATTCAAATACCATTATGCAGTCCGGAAAATTAAAATAATAGCCACTGGAGTGATGAGTTATGAGTTTATGACTATATTATAATATTATTATATACCAAAACGGCAAAACACAACTAACGTTGAACTCACCACGCGCAAAAATAAATATTTGCCTACATAAGATTTTATATTCGATAAAAACATTCTACATTTCTAAACAATTTATAGATAAGATATAAAATAACCAGTTTTCGTCCGAATTCCTATACAATCGAATCCGTTAGCAGGATATTATCGTTTTAAATGTTTAACGATTTTTCGGTGCCACACATACGTATAAGGTAGTTATTTGGATCCCTCCCGTACTGTCATATAACGCTCATATTATTATTATTATTATTATCATTATACGAGTATTCGAATWCACTTATATGCATTTGTTGGATGTCACCGCCGTTCTTCCGTTAACCTTTTTGGTATAGCTGGTATAGGCACTGCATATAACATATTATATTATAATATTGTCTCCGCTATATGGACGTTGGCCACCGCATTATATTATGTGTGTGTGTTTAAAACGAAGACGAAATGCGGTGGCGAGTAAAATTACAATGGAAACCTTTGAAAACCTGTGTGTTGTCATATGTATCACAAGCCATAACCTTGAAAAAAAAATTACAACCATACGCGCGTGCGCGCGCACACACACACACATTTATGTAATATTTATATATATATTAGGTATATACGTTTATAATATTATTGCGCTCGAAGAGATTATCCAAATCGGTCGAAGATGAAAAAAAGAACACGTAATAAATCTCTTACAATATAGGTATACGGTTTATCCAATTCGAATAGTGCATTTATGTTGTATAAGTGGACCCAAATAAATCACCACCACAGAAGGAATAAATATCCGTTACGACTTACGACGGTGAAGCTGTTGTATTATAGGCATTTAGTATTCTTGCGATTTAATAAAAAAAAATGAAAACGAATCGTTGTTTGTATATATAACTACATATATATATATTTATAAATTCGAATAATCAAATTATTGACTCCTCAGATTTACTGAAACAATAATATTTTATAATACCTACTTAACCATACGATTATTATGGTAAAATAAACAAGTCCTTCAAGTTTTAACACGGTTTTTAAATCATTTAGGTACTACGAGTATAATATAAAGATATTATTTTTTGATAAAGATAAAATTCTTAATGGCCTCGGGTTTGGCGAAAAAAAACCTTTGAAAAATCATTATTTTTAATACTAATAAAATACAAATTTAAATATTATAATACAAATAATATTTTATTATTTAATAAACACATTTAAAATGTTAAAATTAATTCATCAACTCCGCTAATATCATATAATTTGCTACAGATAATCAAGTATTAAGAATTTGATATTACGATAGTAAATAATAACAAAACACATCATACTAATTACTGACACGGTGGTTACACTTCTTGTAGTTTTGAATAAATATACAGTTTTCTACGAATTGCGGGAAAAAAATCCCCAGTAGCATTATACTGGGGATAATATAAATAATTTAATATACCTATAATATAGTAAATTATATATTAAAAATAAAATAAATATTGTATATTAGGTATGTTAACAATTGTTATTTTATAAAAACTGTCCTATACCTTAAAAATACAATAAAAAATTTATAAAAAATTATTAACAATAATTAAATATAAATAGTTCACTGAGATACCGTACCTTATAATAATAATTGTATATAAATTAAAATGTAAATAATATAATATGTGACAATACCGAGGGTTATAATAATACTAATAATTAAATATAAATTAAAAAGTAATGTGATTATAATATTACCTAGTCATTAGAATGCGTGGTATCTAATATCTAATATCTTAAACCGGAACTGAAACAAATAACAACTAATTGGTCAGTTGGAAATTGGAATTACATCTTGATCGYGTTTATTTTGAGTATTTTGACATACATTTTATATACGTATAATGTAATACATTTATATATTTAGTAATATTTAATTTATTATAAAATAACAATTTTTAACATAATATACAATATTTATTTTATTTTTCATATAGTAAAATTTATAAAATAATATAATACTATCGGGAATTTTTTTTCCTAGTGTGGGGATTTTTTGTCCAACTACCGTTCTCTACGTCGAAAAAATGTTTTCACAGTTTTGAAAATAAATGTTAAGAAAATACGTCATATTCTATGTTATTACAAGTACATTTATACTTAAAAAATAAATATCATAAATGTTAATATTAAAAACACTGAAACCAGGGTGTGTATGTTTTCTATATTGTCCCAACCAAAGTATATAAATAGATAGCCGATAGGTGGTAATAAGCTTATATATCGCAATTTGTAAGCTTCATAATTGCATTGGTGAAATCGTGAATGCAATATTGCAGGTAGGTAAACCAAGTCAGACAAGTCTTATACTTTTCAATTCTGACAGAAACACACCATAATACCCGCACGTTTGTCCGTGTAATATGTATTATCCGACTATCCATATCTATATATTTTTGCATTATATGTGTAAAGCTATAATACATATTTATTACTACACGTACCTTATATAAATATATAATGTAACAACTGTATATTATATACCTACAATGCTGCAGACGAGTATAGTCGTGGTGGCTATCCAATTAATATCATTTAGAAGAGACCGGTTGTCGTAAAATTATCATCTTATATAGAGTTATTAATAAAACACCTATACATTATTTATGAAAGAATAAAAACCACGGTGTTAAAACTGGTTTGTTTTTCACAGTTCGCTGATCAGAGACACGCATACATCGTATAATATGTCGTGTAAGTAGTAGCTATATATAATATATTGTAATACTGCAGTATTAAACGCAGATACTGCAATAATTTAAACGTTCGTTTTATTCTTGTGATAAATCGACATTCGTTAGTTTGACGTCTGCAATAAAAACATCTAATAAACTTTAAATTTCTAGTTTAAATTACTATTGTTGTGTTATTTTCTGTAAAAATAAAGGAAAGGAAAAATGTTTCATTAAGTAGGTACTGTTACATCACTAAAAAATTAATAGTTTTTAAACTCTATAACTTTACTCTTTACGTTTTGTGGTATAACTTTAACTACCAATCTATTAATATAAACTTAACTATCTGCTACTTCCATCTGATGCAAAGTATCAATTGGTATTTGGTATTAATACCAAAATTTTATTATTTAAACATCTTATCGAAATTGTTATGGGGTAATATACTAACATTATAATTTATAATATACTAAATAATAGGTGTATTATAAAAGTTTTCGATTTCCTACACTAACAGATATATGAATTAATATTTATAATAATTAATGGTAAGCACCAAACATAATATTATTTAAAATACAATATAATATTAACCATGATGAACCTAAAATTGATAAATGTGATATGTGAACGTCGCCACAATTGGAGCAATCTATAGTATAATGTCAATGTCATGGGCTCTAAATATTATGGGAGGAGGATGAGACGGCTAGATGATTTCTATAAAATTCAAAAAACATCTTTCTTTTTCAGTTTAATAATAACACATATTCTACATCAAAATAACACAATAAGTTTTTGTGACAAGATTGATAAGTGAATAAAAATTAACAATAATTCACAGTTCAAACGTTCAAAGACAATAATTTATATGCGAAAAACATAATATTGCTTATCAAATAAGATATTATGCACTTAACTATCTATACACAATACTAGAAACGGGTATGTTTAATCATTACTCAAGAGGTAAATTCATATTCTCATGTGAATACAATTCTAAATGCTTATGAGTAATAATGTGTTATACAAGTATTTTTTATATAAAGAAATATTTTACGCATAGCTGGTAGATTGTATTCATGTATACAAAAGACGATTGCCTCCAGAAATTAGTGAAAAAATTCGATAAATGTTTTCCCCGAACATCCAATTTGCTGACAAAAAAGGTCTTTTGAATATAACTGCGAAACCAGTTTTTCGTACATACAACTATAACGAGTAACGACGTTCAACCTAGTACACTATACAGTCATGCGTTCCAAGTCTTTTTCCGATTCCAGCTACAACGTCTGTGGCGAGCCTGTGGTGGCGCCAACAAAGCTATATTAAAAAGCCGAAATATATTTCAGATATTTTTTTTTCTTCTACCCCGTCATCGTATTTTGGTCCTTGCGCGGCCGCGTGATGATAAAACTAGTTTCTTAAATCATTTCTGAATATATTCGTCATCACAATCATCATTGTAAAAAACAATTTTTTTTCGTCCACCCGTCTTCTGCTGTAGCAGTATAATATTATAATATATAAGCATTCAAATAATATTATAATATGTATATTGTACACGTATTGTATATTAATGTATAATATGATATAAAATAAGTATTACAATTTAGAATAAAATGCCTCATTATTCCATTACGGTAAAATACTTGTATAGTAAGCCGAGTTAATAAATAACGTTTATTTTTATTTTTATGTGTATAATTAAAAAAATATCTTATTAAGTTAGTTATAAAGGTAATATGTATATTAGGTACCTATATAATTAAACTTAATAATGTTTTATATATACTAGACTAGATATATCACACACACATACATCAGTTACCTAGTTTCATATATTATAAATAATATGTGTAGGTACCCTAACCTTATATTGTGTCTGCAGGAGTTTGATTGCAAAGGCCGAGTAGAACGGTGCGAAAGGAAGAAGGCCGCCACGAGGAGACCAGTGTGCGGCACAGACAACATTAGTTACCCGAGTAGATGCGCCTTACTGCGGGTCCGATGCTTTAATGACTCATTGTTGCGTGTCAAGCACCGGGGAAGATGCAAAGGTAATTCTAACATAATATTATAATGTAATAAATAAATAATAATTAATATTGTATATTGTGTGATGTAACTGGCACTTGTTGTTTTTCGCATATCATATAATAATATATTTCATTAGAATTTTTTTTTTTATTGACCATAAGCCCATTAAGCCTGTCAACTATTTCCAATAGCTGTTTGAAGGGGGTATGGGGTACGGTTTGTTTGGAATATGTAATGTATGTGTGGCAGGGATTTGTTGCTAAAACCACAGGTTGTCACCCATCCCAGAGCTAGCAACACAGGCTGGTACGTACATTCAGAGTGTTTCACGACCACGGGATTTTATATAGTAAAATAAATAATAATAATTGTGTAACGATTTTTAGTGGCTAACCTTTCTAGTAAAATCAAAAAGATTAAATTGTTCACCTATTTACCATCCTTTTTTGTATAATGATATTAATTCTATTAGCATCTAAAGGAGTAAAATTAACAAAAAACAATAAAATATATTTTTATTGATTTAATTTAATTTATTAATTCAAAACAAACATTTTATATTTTTTCAAATATTCCCATCATAAACATAATATTCGTATTTTATATTAAATAAGTATATATAATAGCAAAATTCATACATCCAAATCATTAAGCAATGATACTTTTATATTATACATAGGTAGTAGGTACACATCATTATTATTTAATAATTTACTGAATGTATTAAATAAACGTATTATTATGATCAAATAGATGTACATATATTTATAACGATGTAGGTGTATTTTCCTTTCAAACAATCAAAAATAAATTTCACAACCTGATTCTAAGGGTATTTTGCAATTTTCCAATATCGTACTGTTAAATTTTATAACAGAAAAGAAAAACACGTGTCTCACATGGCTATAGAATTTTTACTTGTGAAGGGTGAAACATCCGGGTGGTCTGCAATGTCTGTATATAGTATGAATCGATTATTTATGAAAAAGGTTAAATCTAAAAATTAAAATGTTTGGGAAATTATAAAAACTACCAATACCACTATTTATAATATATGCACACTAAACTKAATTTTGGGATCGTATACGAATTTGACTCTTTTAAAAAGTATAAAACATCCGTCTAGTCAAGAAACATATTTTTTTATAAAAAAATTATTTTCTAAAAAATTGTGACTAATTACATTTCATAAATAAACGATTCATATACATGGTGATCAACTATTATTAATTAATAGTAGTGTATTAAGTCAAAATAATAATTAATTAATAAAAGAACATATATACTAACCTTCAAAATACAACATATTATGTACACAGTGAGATTATGCTGAATAAACCAACCAACCAACACATTTGCCTATCCCTATGTATAGGTATAGTAACGTAATTTTATAGGAACAAGTATTTAATGTTAATAAATGTTAATAATCTTATAAGCTATTGGTTGATTAATTGATTAAACACGTAATTTTAAATTTGTACCTTTAAGTTATTTCACATAAAATATTTTCTTAGATTTATGATAAGCTAATATATTTACAAACGCTCTTACATTATCTACCTAATTTCCAATCCTAATCTACTTGTCAAAAATATCACGTGAAAGTCAGCAGTCTCTACCATTCCCGGTAATACTCGAAGAAGTCTTAAACGTAAATTTTGAAATAGTTTTCTAGAATACAGATGCAAAGTCGTACTAGATTTAATTACCAATATACAGGAGAATCTTCTAAAAATGCTCATCCTCGTTTTCCCCTTTATTGATTTTTATTAAAATTCTGGTTTTTAGAATTTTTAAATAAAKCTTTAAACCATATTTTCAAATTCCTGATAGTTTTTGCCCTATTTAAGTGGACGCTACATCCACATGTATTGTCTCCATCTTACAAAAGAAAAATATTTCGAAAACTGTTTTGCACAAGAAAGAATAGCAACCAAATTTTAACACTGTAAAGAGCAGAATATTTATTGTGCGACATTGTTTTTATTTTTTCGATATCAGAACTAAAAAAAAGTTATTCAAGTTTGAAAAATTAAAAACAACGTTGCACAGTAAATATTCTCTTCTTTATAATATGAAAATTTGGTTGCCTAGCTTGGATTACAACTTGAGTGGTTTTTTCGCGCGCAAAACAGTTTTCGCAATGTTTTATATTTGTAAAACGGAAACAACACTTGCGGGTGTAACGTCCTTTTAAGGCAATTGTCTTGTGGCGATATAAACTTCTATTTTTCAAATAAGTAATCCCCTCTTTTACCGTAAATTATTTAGCAAGTGATTTTTTTGAAATGTTGATGAATCTAAATCAAAATCCTATATCAAGTAATTTTTAAGTTATTAAAATATGTATACAAATGATAATAATCCTTAAATATGGTTTTATAAAAATATAAACTGTTAAAAAATGAGATTCCTATTTAAAAAACTGAAGTTTGTATTGTTAGATAATCGCCCAATAAGTGGTATAAAAAATCTCAAATATTGGAATAAAAGACCGAGGAAAATGTAATGTCATAAATTATTATTATATATTATTTTGTTAATTGTATAAATGGGGTCTATTTTATATATGAATACTCAATAATAAAAAAGAAACTAAAAATCTCAAATATTCAAAAATATGGTTTTCAAGTGTATTTTAAAATTCCTAATTTCAATAATCACTATTTGAATTTATGTATGATTTAAGCATAATTTATAGGGTGAGCATGCTTAAAAAACCACCCTATAAACTAAAGTAAAATTTAATTCAATTTTTGAGTGTTTTTAATGGGTAGTTTTACTCCTCGATATCTGTCCACTTATTGACTTATTTATCTATATCTTAATATTTAATGTATATAATTATTATATACATAATATGTCTTTATATCTTATGTAGGTATCTTATATTCTCACCCAAATTCTTTTAACTTATTTATGCACTTATGTCCTTATACAGATTGTATATTTCTTGTAAAAAAAAAAAAGATATTATGATACGTAATTTTATGTAATATACCTACTACCCAGACAATATTATCTCCAGCTTTATTATGCAAATCGTAAACGTGCCAAGGACGCACTTATACTTAAAAATGTATTTAAAAAAAAATGATAAGAATACTATATTAATATTATTAATAGTACATAAGTTATAGATATAATGACCTATATTTTAATTAAAATTCATTAAATTTCTAGATAAATATATTTTATATACTTAAAATTGATAATAATTAATAATATTATTATACTTTCACCAAATATTTATGATATTATTTTTTAGATATTATGAAACAATGTTCAAAATATTTATTTTTTTTGTCATAGTCATAAGTTTTTTTRTAATAATTACAAAATATCAAAAGTACGATGTTCACTTAACACATATTATACCTACTAGAACTATGTAAATCTAAGTTAGGTACTATTACCAATTTTTTTATATAGATAAAATAATTCATTCTTAGTTCTCATATTAAAACATTAATAATTTTAAGTAGCTATAGGCACTATTTTACTAAAAAATCTATATAAACGATTATAATTATAATATATAGTTTATACTAATTATAATTATAATATATAGTTTATACTATATGCAGCGGAAGTTAATTGTAAATAAGTAATATTAATGCCTATGTTTTACTTGCTTGGTTATAATAATATATATGGGGAATTAATTTAAGATATAATTTGTTGTTGTAGAACTCGATATATCAAATTATTACTAGATCATGATTCATAATGTGTGTATTTTACATTTTTTAATAGAAAAATAAAAATAAATTGTATGTATTAAAATTTAAAACTATCGATTGTATAATATAGAAAAGCAGCCTTGTTGGGTGGATCAAACTACAAAATCAGGTGATCCAACTAGAACTCCGGACTCGTATATGCCCAGGTGCAAAGCGGACGGGACTTACTTCCGGATTCAATGCCATAAAAAAGAAGGATATTGTTGGTGTGTAACACCTGCGGGAAAAGTGGTGTCCAACACCATTGTTCGAGGACAAAAGCCCAAATGTGATAACGACAGAGGTTAGTCAGAAATTATATTTCAATAATACATAAATGCTTACGCTTGTATTGTCAAACTCTATTATGTAGTATTGTGTTTTGATAGGCAAATGGCGTAGAGGTTCTTTGCAGAAAGGAGGTAATCTCAGAAGAGGTAAACAAATTTACAGTACATAGTTAGTGTAGGTATAATTGTTGAAAATACTGAAGTAAAAAATATAAATTATTTTATACATTGCTATAGAATGTTACATATTTTATAAAATAATATTTAGAGTAAGAATATAAGTTTAATATGATTACTTAAATTGAATTACGCAATTAATTAATATAAATATAATTATAGTTAATAATTTTAGATTCCGCGATGGGAGCAATATACAATATATAGTATAATAATGTGTTGTTTTTTTTTGGGATGTCTGTCATCACCATTTGAGTCATTAAAAATGCTTCGATTTTCTACTCCCGGATTTTATTATAAAAAAATAGTGAATTTAGTTRGTACCTAATTTGGAGGGCGAGGGGCCAAAAGTAAAAATTTTCAAAAGCGTTAGGGAAAACAAAAAGAAAATTTAACAAAAAAAGGGGAATTTTTATGCAAGCCAGTTTTTAACGAAATCGTCGTATCAGGTACTTAAAATTTTAACTAAATGTTTATAATATGGCCATTGCAAGATACATTTTTCAAAACATTTAGACTCTTTTTAAACTACCTATTTATAGACAAATTTTCTAGTTGTTTTAGTTTTTTTTTGCGGTTATAATAATTAAAAGTTTAATACAAGGTTTTTTTTAACAGCAATTTAAAAATATTAAAGACTAGCTTACCCCATGCACTTCGTTGCCCTTAAAAAATGGCAATATGTGACAATCAGATATTCAGATTTGATGCATGCTTTGAAAATAGCTGTTTTAATTATAATTTCAAATGAATTACATTACTAAATCGTTTATTGTTGTAACTATACAAAAGTTTACGACAATTTAGCCATATTTATAATTTGTATAAGTATTTTTTAGATAAACATTTATTATGATTCTGTTTGCTGTCCCGCCCGGCGTTGCCCACAACTTATTAAGTAACAGTTATGTGATATATATGTTCAACACTTCAAAAATTTGATCGGCTTTCTTGATATTATATTTATTTCAATTGTTCAAAACTTCTCTGTATACTATATATAGCTGACCCGGCAAACTTTGTTTTGCTATATCTATCATAGTATCTGCCCGTAACTTCGTTTGCGTAGAATTTGAATCATATATCATATGATACATCATTAAATTGTATTGAAAATAAGTAAACATTAAATTTATTGGGTTAGAGCTTCTCTGTAACGATGTTTGATGTTGTTTTATTTTGTGGCAGCAAAATAAATTGCTTATCAGCAGATTCAACTCGTGATAGACCCATATACAGTTGGCCATGAGTAAAACATTCCTTTCGTAAGACGATCCCTTACTAATTCGGAAGTTTGACCTTGGGAATTGCTAATAGTCAACGCGAAAGATATTTTTACCGGAGATTAAAGCCGTTTAGACGGAATTGGCAGATCAGTTGGGATCATCGGTATCCTCGAAATATGAGTTAGCTGATCAGCTGCTGGGCCAGTAATAATGGTCGCTACAATTAAATAACTGTCCTTTAATTCTTTAATAAGCTGTCTTGTTCCATTGCACATACTCGGAGGGCTTAAATGTCTAAGAGTATGATTGGAATTCCGATTTTTGATGTCAATTCGTTGTTGGCAATCCAGAAAGATTCAGTGAATTAAAAAATTTTTGAAGATAATACATTGCGTCTCCGATGTCGATCGATTTGTAGTTTTTTATTTGGCCAGGAACTTTTTGTAAAATCAGATTGTTTATTTTGTTGACAGTATCATTCCTAGGTGACACTATTGCCCTTGAACACAGCCAATGAAATTTCTTTTCATGCAAATTCTTCATGTCAGAGTAAACTGCATCTATCAAATTATCTAAATTATGAACTATCTGCACTATAGTGACTCATCCAGAAGGATACCACAATTTTCGCTTAAATTTGGAGTGGGAAAAATTCCTTCCCCAATTTTTAGCAATTGTTGTGGAAAATCACTATCTGTGATTTCATTAAGATGAGCTCTCATATTTGTTCGTAATTTTAAATTTTCAATCGAAGTCCATAAAGGCCAAAGGGGACAATTTTAAGCATGCTTTGGTGATATCTGCTTGCGTACATCTGTTAATCACGGGAAGTGTCTGTCGGAAATACAAAAGTAATCCCGCCCATGAGAGCAGAAGAGTTTCTAAGATCTTTCAAGGTTCTGTCCAGGGTCTCTATATGTGCTCTATGACTCATGGTACATTCATCCCACATAATCAATGAGGCGTCTTGAAGTAATTTACCAAGAGGTCTATTTTTGCGGATAGAACATATAAATTGTTGCTCAAGATTTACAAATTATGGAAGTTTAAAAGTAGAATAAGGAGTTTTCCATCATTTAGGAGTGTTGGAGCAATTCCTGACGAAGCAACTGCTATTACTATCTTCTCGGATTGTTTTATCTTCGCAAATATCAAATTTGCAAGGAACGTCTTTCCAGTGCCACCTGCATGGAGCATCCCAAAAAGAAAATTTTTCCCTTGTTCTAGTCTCAAAAGCATGTTTTTGATCTGGGACTAATTTTGTCAGGTTTTCATTGACAAAAGAGGTCAAATCATTTGTATTATAATGATGTGCCATTGTATATGTTGCATTGTTTTCTGTACGAACTGGGGAAGGTAATCCAAAACGACTTAGGTTTTTATCATTTAATTGCAATAATTTACTTCCGATTTGTATCAAACCTTCATTATAAATCAGCTTCTGGTGTACTTATTTACCGGCCATTTACGTAGTTTTCCACCTCATCGTTTGGGTTTTTGACGCTAAAAGTAGCTTGGTCAGATCCTTTATTGATATATTTACAAATATATTTGATGACTATTTGAAAATGTATTTGAACGTTCGACACTTGACTCTCTTGCACGCGATTTTGACGCGTATTCTCTCTGACTTGCAAGACGATTTTCAGATTCTGATGGAGATTCTCCATCACGACGTATTTTTATTTCCCTATCCTGTGAACTATTTGTAGAAAGTTGAGATCTTGGTGTTTTGGACATTTTAAAATGATAAAAAAAAAAAATAGGAAAAATATTCGCTGCCGCATACAACCACTGCATAGCAATCCAACCACGCGAGTGAGTCGCGGTCTTTATTTCTTGACATTGACCTGACCAAAACGACGTTCGTTGGAAATTCCGAGTGTAATGTATTGTTTTTGTGTGTGCGCCGACACTAATAATAAAATAATATTATAGATCGTCGCCACGACGCCGATAACAGTCGTTCAATCRATTGTATATTTATTATTAGTGTAATAGTGTCGGACTGTCGGCGTACCCAGGGCAGCGCCGTGCGGGTACGGCGTTATAATATATACCATCCCCTATTATAGCCCCTTACAGCCCTTTTTTAGTATTAAAAAGTAGCCTATATTTTTTCTCAGTGTCTAGACTATCTATGTACCAAATTTCGTTTAAACCGGTTCAGTAGTTTCGAAGCCTATTCAATACAAACAATCAAATCTTTCTTCTTTATAATATTACCTAGTATAGATACATAAGCATGATTTTTTTTTATAAGTAATTTAGGTTAAAATTTGGACGAAATTAGACATCTAAACGAAAAATTACGTTGTTAGTTATTTTATTAGAACTTAAAAACATTATTCGCGGGTAGTCATAAAATTATAAATTGTATTAAATGTATATTCTAAGACATTTTCATAATATCTGTAGCATTCGAAAAACATATCATAAAATATAATTGTTATAAGATGACAGACCATCTTCCCTCGAAATTGTGTTTGGTATAGGTACAATGATATATCATTTAATTGAAAATTAATACATCCATTATAGTGACTCACTCCATACCTACTTTACAGCATACCTAAATTTTGTTCACATGAATTGCCTACCAAGTCAGTTAAACTTAGCTTTTTGAATGAATTTCGTCTGAGACGTAAATCGTACTACTTTTTCACGTACAATTAATATTCATTAGTGATTCCTAAATGAACTGAAGTAAGATTGAAAAATACAATAAATTTACATCAGAACATCTGACAAATAATTTACAATTTAATGTACTTTTTAAATTAAAAACAATGTTATAATATTATGTAAATCATATCTTTCAATATGACTACTAAGTATWAATTAAATATAAAATTCAATTAAAATTTATAAAATTACTATTGACAATGGGGTGTGAGCATAATATTATGATATAGTTACTTTTCGATTAGGAAATCAATATTGTTGTTAAAATTTTTATTAAACATATAAACCATAAATTTCATACAAAATAAAATATTTAAAATGTTATACATTTATATAGTTTATATGAAACATTTAATTCAACATTATTATCTTTTTAAAATTAGGGTAGTGTTGTAAATGTATTATACTAAGTATTTCAATAAATACATTTTATTCACGTAAAAAACGTATTTATAAAAGTAATAATCAGATTAGAAATCATTAAAACAAAATATGTATAATAATTCATGATATCTTTATTTTAAAATAATAATGGGACTAGTACACAATTCGCATGAATTTAGTTAAAAACAAAGCTTACTACTTGATATTTTATCCGCTGCATCAAAAAACATTAACTCATAATGTTTTATGTTTAACTAGGGCCATCTATAGGCAAGGCCGTAATCGAAAACTAATTTTTGACGGCGGGGGTCCAACATTTTTTAGTATAGATAATAATGATAATATAAATATTACGTTTAATATTTAAAAAATCTGGACACATTAATAAATAAATAATATTCACAGCTTAAAGTTCTCTGGTTAACTCAGCCTAACCATCACAATAACGAAAAAATTAATTTTATCCATCCCAAACGACAAAAACATCATTGTTAAAAATTTTAATTAATTATATGACCCAAAATTTCATTTTTTTTTACCCTTAAACTTCACAATAAATGTGAAAGTAAAAATGTTTGAGATTTCATACTTTGTAATATTAATAATATTGCAATAAAAATTGAAAGTAAAAGAAATTCAGTTAGTTTAAAAAAAAAATAAATGCCTAAACCTAAACGTATTGTATATTGACAGGTATCATTTTTATAAATTTCACTGATTTTCTAGAGAAAATAATTTAGATATTTATAATTGTATAATTTATTTCAATTATTACACGATATGAATTTATGAATTTCAAAAATGTACGTTGAAAAGAACACAGACTTTGTACCTAATATATCAAATTAAGAAAATGGCGTATGGTGTATTGAGCTGACTGTGAAAAAAAGTCTTTATCAGTTTAACTTCAACTCTTCAACCTAAAAATTCTAACTTGTATCTGCAGTACCTAATAATGTGATGTGTGTACTTTCTTTCCCTTTAAAAAAACACATGCTCTAAAACCTTAACTTCTTCAGTAATTGATTTTGATATAATTTTTCTAGCTGTAAATATTAGGTATGTGTTAAATCTGAAAATACGGATACACAATAATGAATAAATGTCGGTATAGCGTCCAACAACCTATAAAAGTGTCTAATTCTAATTTAAGCACTCTATATACGTTAGGTATATTAGAAAGTATGGATATTAGACAATTAGACATTATTAGTCAGTAGATACACATATAATTTAAATTTATCAATTATTATAAACAAATGGACACTGTGTTTTTAGAATGCAGTAAAAGCGATAAAGCAATATTTATCAATAATTTAGTCAGAATATTCAAAACGGAGTACAATCGAGATCAGTACGCAGCACTATTAAATGGTAATGTAATCAAAGATATTATATCTATTATTATTATATTATATATTTTTTTTTTTTGTAGATGTATGCAAAATATTTTGATTTTTTCAGGGTTTTAATTTTACATATTTAATGATATTGTAGCTATTATTACATATCACACAACTGAACATATGACATATATAACTACGTGTTGGTAAACTATTAGAGGGAAAATATATAATATATAGGTACACATAGGCCATCACAAACCTTCCTTTAAAAATTAATTTAAATATGGAAGAGAAAATATTTACTGCTCTCATTGTGTCTATTAAGTTTTTACTCACCAAAGAGTTAACTTCATTTAATTTTTATGTTCATTAATATTTGATGTATTAGAATATTACAGTTCAATAGAAACCTACATATTAGTATTTGTTAAGTATAATCATAAACGCAATAATTGCCTAAAACACCTATGGATTGTTTTCAAAAAAAAATATATATATATATATATAATTAAACCAGTATATGCCATATTTCTACAAATCATAATTTATTGTAATATTATATCGTAAGTACCAATGTAAGACACATAAATTAACAAATAAAATTTTTTCGTTAACTGAAAAAAATGTATTTAACTTCCTATAGAAATATTTAGAAATCTATTGATATAACTTTGATTGAAAACAATTCAGTAGTTTTTGAGTTTATTAAATTCAGATAAACTAACACCCATTATTTATTGGTTCGATTCGATTTACCCACGAAAAAATGAAAATAATATATAATATAGCGCTATACAAGTGTATCTTTGTTAATATACCTCAGTCATCGGATAAATCTGTGTCAGCGTAACAGACTAGCGAATTAATTCAACCGAGATCAACAACAGATTAGATATAATATATGCATTTAGGCACTTACTTGGTATAAATCGAATATGCGGTTCTAACTACTCTCTACATTTTCTTGATATCGCTAAGAACAAATTGAAATTTTCAGTAGATCGATCATGTGGTTTCTAAATGTATAAACTACAAACATACATATTAAATTCTAATATTTGTTTTGAGGCATAGATAATTTCTTTATTCAAGGCCATAAACACGATGAGATTTGATGAAATTAATAATTTATATACAAAATAATATTAAATTCTACTAGTAATTTCCATTATAATTTAAAATCTGTAATATGATTATCATTTCTAAACAAAAAAACTACACAATAATACACGGTGACATGACATCAGGCATTTTTTACTTTACTTGGCTTATAAGCACCGTAGCGTGATGTTAAAMTGTCCTTCTTAATTGGCCATCAAATGCAAAAAGAATTTTTCTAACAGGTAGTTCTAAATATTAGCAAGTTTAAATAAACAAACTTTTTAGCTATGTGCAGTGATAGACAGATTAATTATTTTATTAAAAAAAAAAATACTTTTATACTTAGTATTAAGTAACATAATTAATATAATATTCTATTTTCACAAATTATGTTTATAACAGGTGACCGTTCAGTACTGGACCCGATTACGTTGGACAAACGAGTCACTGAATGGAAATTCAGTTCTTTGGACACGGACAAAAACGAATCCCTCACTAAAATAGAATACAGAGACCTAAAGAGACTAGTTCGCAAAGTAGTCAGGCCTAAGAGATGTTCCAGAACATTTATCCGCACGTGCGACACGGACCATAACAGCGTAGTGTCGAAAATCGAATGGACGAATTGTTTGTCGATTGACGGTAAACCATTGTTGATATATTATTATATATTTATAGATGTCATGTTCGTTTCCGTCGATAACTTTTTCTAAATAATAATTTTAACAATGAATTTGGATAATTATTCCTGTATTAAAAAGATAACATTATTATGTTATGATGTAACAATATGTATCTACTTATAATTTAATATTTATATAGTTAATTTAATACTTTAGTAGCATTTAATTTATTTAAATATAGATAATTTACTCCATATTAAATTTTAACATTTTGAGTCAAGTTTAACAAGGTATACCTATATGCTTTTAACTCAACGTCCTTAACTGCTGTATACGAATTCAGTCTACAACTCTTGTCGTATCCAACAGATATGTTAAGTTAAGTAAAGTAAAAAAAGTTGCTTGCAAACAAGTCCCAATAAAACTTCTTTTTGAACGTATTGGTTTACTTTACATAACTAACTTTACTAACTCAACTACTGGACACTAAAGATAATTATTTCATTAATTTAATCTTTGGTATACGGACCTAATTGTGTTAATACAGATACTTATAACCTATATCTTTATAGTACAATATATCTGTTGGAACTTGAATTTTATAAATATACTTTATAATTTATAATATGATGTATTAACTATCAGAAATATCGGGCGTAAAGTCATCGACAACCTCGACTACGACGACGACAACCACCACCACTACGACTACCACTACAACGACCGAAATCCCCCCGCCGGATGACTACGAAGATAAAGACGACGATGGAATCGGACTCGAGGAAGCCGATCCTGAAGACAGTAAGTACAATAGTACAAATACGATATACCTGCCTAGAACCCACATATATTATATATATTAGGCAGGTATTATGATATATTAAAATATATCATATTATTAAACATGTTTGTTCTTTCCATATAAACCACGATGAGATAATAATGAAATACTTTTTGTATTCGCAGTACTACAAGAAAGCGTAGCTACGCTTAGTGGTACTCTTCCGGGTTTAATGGCCGAAGGCGACCAAGAGGAAGAGGCTGAAGGTATTTTTGTTCATTGATATACCTACAATTATTATTAAAACAGTAAAACGTTTAGTACCATACTATACAATATACATAATTGTATTTATTTACTAAACTTAGGTACACACAATAGAATTAAGAATAGTTAAATATCAATTACCAACATTGATCAAAATTTAAGAGGACGCCACACTCAAACGTGTTGTCTTTGTTTTACAAACCTATACAACTAGTAAGAACTTTTTTGTGTGGGAAAGAACTGAGAATGCTAGAGTCATAACTAAGAGAGTAAGAAACGACATTTTCACACAATATAAAGATGAAAACATTTACCGTGTTACATCGTTTTTATTTTTTCGTTATTACAAGTACGAAAAATGTCTTATTGTTTAAGTATTCACTATTTCAAACTTGAATAAAGTTTTTTGTATTTTTGATACCGAAAAATAAATTTTAAACGGTAAATATGTTCTCATATTTTATAATGTGAAAATGTTTCTCTGTTGATTGGAGCCTTCTCTATTCTTTCCCACGCAAAACCGTTTTTTCTATGTCATAACTATAGTCGCAACTAGAGGCCAAACACTGGGGGTGCTAAAATTATGTAGACGAAACAGGTCCGTGTGGGCCACGCCCCCACATCCCTAAGTGCCATTCRCCAATTTTATAATTACTATAACCAATCTTAAATGCACTATAAAAACATAAGCACACTAATATTTAAGTATCTAAACAGTAATATACCTCATAAATACATTAGCTATATTACCTATATATTCATATAATAACCTAGTATAAGCAGATAAATAAATGTCAATGTTACATAACTAATATTTGATACAACCCTATTATATAACTATAATCATCATAAATAATTTGCGTTTCCACCAAAAACGCCAAATAAAAAACAACCTTACGTATAACAAAGAAAACTTTTTTCATATGATTTTTCAATTTTTGGTATTTTTGATCTGGGGGTGCTAAATTAACGGCTARGGGTGCTGAAGCATATCTATAAGACTGAGGCAACACGTGCAGATGTGATGGCGTTTTCTTAACACATAGACAATATAATATTAGAATATCTGAGATCTGGGTATACAATCCATGAACTATGATAGTACATATTTTAGTTGATGGCACAAAGAATATACAATCACTTACAATAATAATAATAATAATAATAATATTTTAAAATAATTGAAGATGAAGAATGTATAAAATTATGTGTTAGGAATCTAACGCGCGTGTAGGTGTAAGAATGATTTAACAGCATTCCTAAAGGATTGGGTAAATTTACTTAAAACGTGGCAATATTTTTGTTTTATGTTTTAATCAATCACGCTGTATAGGAACTTACGTTATACTATCGACAGGATATTATTACACAACCTACCATCAGTTCGGCTCAACTAAGATTAATGTCAATTGCATGTAGGAAGCTTGAAATTTATTCTGGAAGCATGCTGTTGTAATATGAGTTTACGGCAAGAGCACTGTTGTTCGAGTTGTGTTCCGTTTACCTATATTATAGTATACCTATACTCAAAGATATCTTGCCGAATGACCGATGCGTAGATAGCAGCTACGTAGGCGGGCAACACCAACAATAGTAACCGCATATGTTAGCTGACAAWCAAAAACTAAACACTAAACTACAGAAATCATTCAAATCTGTAGCTCGCGCGACACGGTTTAGTGAACAACTGGAAACCCGGTTTCAGTTAGTATATTCGTTWACCATAGATTTGGTAGAATGCATGGTAAACCGTATTGGATGTAGCCGTACACCGCGAAATGCTCAAGACGTATTTTTTACAATATTATGTCGATATGGGGTCTCTGCGCAGCGATAACGACCACGTCGAAATGATCGACTTTTAGCGCCAACCACATACTGACGTACGTAACCACTTTGTTGATMCGATGTTCCACCTTACCTAGTTACCTACAACAGCCTACCAATACGGCAATACAGTATACCGCGTCCATGGTCCATCTATATCTATATATCGAAGACTGTTATAATTTATAATACAATACCGATTATAATATAGTCTATATATATATAGGTACTAATATTATAAGGATGAAAAAATTAAGTTTCAAGAAGAACAATTTGATACGTATCGACTGAGAATAGTTACGTACCGACTCGTATCACAGAACAATGTTAATTAACAATGTTAACAATGCTCGTATCGAAGTCCAAACTCGATAGGTACAGGTCGATACATAGGTATCAATTGTATATTAAACGTGTAATTTCTTGAACACTCAAAATTAAATCGATATCGATACACTTCAATTTCCTCCTTGAAAATCTTGAATGTTTGTTTATTCATAGTAATTTCTGTAAAATTGTTTAACTCATTTTAATTTTTTTTGTTATTATCAGAAAGTTACACAATCCTGAGCATCTTTAGGATATATTATTTTGTATCGATAAGCGGCCCATAACTTTTTTTATTGCAACTTTGAAAATCTTTTATAAAAATAATATTAATAATATAAATAATAGGTATAATATAATTTGTTCATAATATGGGGGTTGCTATTTGTTACAAAAATTAATATAGTGGAAATTACTCATTATGATTGGATATAATTTTAGACCTGTATTTTAAATATTTTGTCAAAAACATCAAAATTAGTGTGACCACTAATCATTAAGTAGTTCCAGAAATTATAATATTACTCAATACTCATTTGTAAAACTTTACAGTACACTGTGAACGTATTAGTTAAAGTAAGTGTACATATTAGTATATTTCTAAAGCCCCATTTATTTAAATTTATTATTTTACTGTACTTATTAATTCAAACACAAAGTTCAGGACCTAGGACCTTAGGTGATGTAAAATACCATGTATGATATTAAATTTAGAAAAAAAAAACTAAATATATATTATTGATTTTTATTGTATATTTTCATAACATATAGGAATACAATTTACCTTAAACTTAACATTTTTATTTTATTGACATTAAATTTGTTTTTAGTTAATGATTGTTTAACGGACAGACAGGAAGCATTAGATGATCCATCGACTTCATCTCACAAGTACATACCAGAATGTACAACAGATGGAAGATATAAACGTGTTCAATGTTACAAATCAGTCGGTATGTACAATAAGGTTTAATAGGATTATCATAATATAAAACATTGTATTTTATTTGAGCGGAAATGTTTTTAACTTAGGTTACTGTTGGTGCGCACAAGAAGACACAGGAAAACCAATACCTGGAACCTCGGTGAAAGATTCTAATCCTAAATGTGATGATGGCATTCCTTTATTTTCACGGCCAATKAAAGGCTGCCCAGAGCATAAAAAAAATATTTTTTTAAAAGATCTCATGGATTACCTACGACAAAAACACAGGTTTATTTTACACAAATAACATTACATTTTATGATTGAGACATAATTGTACTAATATTCTACTTATTCTGAACTTATAATTTTTACAGTAAAAACAATAATGCATCATTTTCTAATGACTATGAGTCGATAATTTCAAACATTTTTCATACTTTGGATACAAATCACAATAAAGTAAATCATTACCAACTAAATGTTTTCTGTTGATACATAGAATTCTAAATTTAGTAGTAGTAACTTTTATTTATCTCTTTTGAAAATATAAGGTGTTAGAGCGCAAAGAATGGAAGAGTTTTCGTGAAGAAATGTCAGCCAACAACAAACTAAAAAGATGTGGGAAAAAACTGCCTCGACATTGTGATGTAAATCATGATAACAAAATTGGCTTTACAGAATGGTTAAACTGTTTAAATGTTAACCATGTTCAGACTCAAACACAACCCAATGGTAAATTATTAGATAAATTATAAAATCTAACAAATATTTGAAAAATTCTKATTTATTTCTAGAATCCAACACAACAATAATTGCTAAAAGAAGAGGGCCTAATCCACTTGAATCATATCTCAAGGGAGATGACTAAATGGCATGATAAAATAATAAAATAAAATAGAGCAAAATTAATTTTTATTAAGACTGTTTGTAAATTATGAATTAACAGCTTTATATTACTATTACTATTATATTACATATATGACATAATATGTACTGTACATTATATAAACTTTTTTCTGAAAATACTATATTGATCTTTATAATATTATAATATATATATATATAAAAAAATATTTATATGATATATATTTTGATTTTTATTTAACTAATTTATAATAAAATAAAAGTTTTATTATTAATAGTGTTCAAAAAATATTTTTATTTATTTTTATGCTTAAAAATAATAAAACTAACATAATAATAATAATTACAGAATATTATTAATGTTAAAAATAAAAATAAAATAATAGAATATAATATGAATGTCAAAAAAATAAGATAAGTAGTGTTATAAACAATTTAAAAAGTTAATTTTTATAATATTTATATTAAAAATTAAAATATACGGCCCAATTGAGTAATACATCTAAACATTATATCACAGATTATACAAAATCAATATATGAATCGTATTAAATAATTTGTTAGCTTTGGCTTAGGATTTTAAAACTTAAGTAACTTTATATGCTGGGTTAAAGCTTTGACTCGTTGATTAAAATAAAACTATCACACTTTAGCTTAGTTATAATACAAACAAAAGAAGAAAACAAGTAAAAAAATAAATATAATATGATTATTTGTTCCATAAAAAAACTTAAATAATATATGAGCTATAAGTTCCTGTTAGTAGGGATTCTGTCGATGTTCTAACCAGAAATGTACAAGTATTATTTGTAAATATATTAGTAATTATAACTAATGAGCTGTTGATAATTTGCTCCAATCGTTGTCTGTAAAAAAATAATTTTAGATCAATAAATAATAAAGTAGCTGTTTGAATGATAGGTATAAATTTAAAATAATAAAATAAATTTTAAGCTATACAGCAATCATTTTATCATTGTCAGAGCCGGATTAAGGAYCAGAGCTGCCCTGGAGCAATATATATTTGGTACTTATTCTTTTCAAAAATTTGTTGAAACAATAAAATAAATATTAATATGAATCTGTTCAACAATTTAATAAAAATTAAATTGGTACCCTACAATATTATCATGCAAATAAATACTACTACTTTAAAACGTCAAATTATTAATAATTCATACATCTACACACTCATTAAGTAAATAAAACAATATAATATAATATAGAGAAAAAACCCAATACCCATGTTTCACAAATATGTGTTTTCCTCGATTTGACTTAAGCAAATTTATTAACAAGTTCCTCCCACTTATTTCTCTAAATATTTCAAACTAGATGTACAGTAATGACATACCTATCTGACATTATTTTTGATTTAAAGATGATGTTAAATTATATTATTTTTTTTTTCAAAACTGAAAAGGAACGTTTGCCACTAGCATTTGAAGATGGAGATGCAGATAATTCTTAAAATAATGTTTATGTTAGGAAATTATGTTTCTAATGATGATGTTAAGTTTTATACAATGCAATAATTGATTTCTTATTTTCAGCTGAAATATTAACCATTATACTTTAAAATTGCATTAATTCTTCTCTCAAGTCGCTTTCTAAATCTATATTAAAACATTTAATGATTTAACTAGGTTGCAACTTTTTTTTTTTTCAAATGTTATCTAGTGATTTGTATAAAATATTTAATAAAAATTCAAATTTATCATTTAATTCAGTGTAACTTTCTATTCTCCTATTTAATTCAAATATTAATTTGTTGATTATTACTAAAAATAATTTATATTAATATATATATATATAGATATAATAAGCACAGGTATGTATGCTTTAACAAAGATTAGACAATAACAAGCGTAGTCAATAATGCGGCACAGGAAATCTAAATACAGAAGTCGTTATAACACAATTTTACAAAATTCTATGTAAATTGTGATTATTACCACTATAGTCATGGTTTACTACATGGTTTACCATTCTAATAATATTATAGATACATTATTCAGGGCTACACCTATAATTTTATATTTTAAAATATAAAATTACTCGATATCACATTGAAAACATKTGCACAATATTTAGTATATTTTGTATTGCAAAAGTTATATGCCACCTTAGAACCAAAGCTCCTTTTGCACCAATGTTAATCCGGCTCTGATTATGTTATGATAAAATATTTAAGTTTTTAATTATTAACTTACAAAAAGATACATTAATATTTTAAGTACAGTATGATTCATTATAGCTCTGAAAGTATCATTTTTTTTTTTTAATTTTAGAACAAATCAATAATAAAACAAACATAAAACAAACATAAAACAAAAAATCTGTCACATTGTATGATTGTCATGCATTTCACCCTATTGCTTTCGGCAATATTAATGATAATACTAATTTCTAACTTAACCTACTAATATGCAATTATTTATCAGTTATAACTTAAAATCATAACTCATAGGTAACATAATGACCATGTACATAACGGATAAGTATATTATTAAAATTAAAAATATATAAAAAAAAAAACAAATGGAATATCAATAAACCACATCAAATGTGTATTATAATTTAAAAAAATTAATTTATTATAAACAAACTTATAAAAATTAAAGAAATTATTTATTAAAGTTTAATTTAGATTCTAAAAAATACTTAAATAATAGTCTTACCAAAATGTTTTTAAATCATAATTTCTATTTCTGATTTCATTAATTTAATATAGTAACAGAAACAGACACAAAATCAACTAAACAACTGTTTTAACTAAATCATCAAACTTTAAAAACTGMTAATTGTAATAATATAAAAATCTGTATTTAAGTTATCATAAGGTTAGTATAGGTGGGACCCGGACATTTTGGCGTGGCCGTATTGGCGTGGCCACTTAGGCGTAAACCATTCTGGCGTAAGACTATTTTGGCGTTAGATTTTGGCATAATAAAATATATGTATGTTGCGGGTAATYGGTAATCAGTTWTYGAGTTTAATATTTACTAATCAGTTGTAATCGACAATGGCTCAAATAAAGAGCATTCGAGGTCGAGATATAGTCACCTAATCAGTTGTAATCGACAATGGCCCAAGTAAAGTAATTATTTATATGGACTAACTACTAAAGTCAATTACTTTTTGTATTTATATTTTTTATTTATATAAACTGACCTAAAGTCGATAACTTTTTATTAATACATTTATATCAATTGATTTTTTACTCCACCTACTTTATTAATTATTATACATGATTATTATATTATTATTTATTATTTATTATATTACTCGCACAGACAACTACTGGCATACTAGTTATATTAGTCCAAAACTTAACGCCAAAATAGTCTTACGCCAAAATAGCTATACTTCAAATAGACATACGCCAAATTAGTTTACACCAAAGTGGCCACGCCAATACGGCCACGCCAAGATGTCCTAGATCGAGTATAGGTAACTATGGGTATGAGTGCTATTCGTTTAAAGATCCAAATTATTAATATAAATTTATTTCTAAAATATAATTATGATCATATACGTTTGTCATTAGTTATTACAAATTACATACTGAAATGTTGATGTTGTCAACATAAAAATTAAGTTAGCTTACCATTTAAACTGTTTGATGTATTAAGTGTTGTATATTTAAGTCGGTCGGTTTGTTGGTTACCACGGATGTTTTGAGGATCAGAATTTTTTAAGTTTTTTAGTTGTTAAAATATATATTTGACTTTATGATATACATTAAACATACATGCCACCAAACCATACCATATCATCAGGAGAAGTACACTTGTTTGAATGTTATGTGTTTAAATACAATTGTGTGATACATATTTTTTAATAACATTTATTTAACATTAAATTTATCTACTAACAGTTAAGTTATGTCCTATTTTTTTTTATCTAAAATTTATTTTGAAATCAGTTATAAAATCTAAAATAATTGAACAATAAGAAATTATGAGTTATTTAAAGACAACATTTAAGAACTACCTAATGGTCAAAGTTTTACTTAATACCAGAGCTAAAAAATACGTATCTTGCGTCTCGCATTCATAAGTGTTGTTCGATTATATTAGGCTAACCATCGCTCAAATATAAACATCATATTTCAAATA